AACCCTGAAGCTGCCTGAATGCTCTGTTGATTCCTGATACCCTGGATCTGTCACTTCTTGTTCTGATCAGAACCCCTGGCTGGATTGAAGACTCCTGGATCTCAAAACCATCTTGTTCTATTCTATTTTATTCTATTTCCCTGAACTGGCATGGACTCTTGCCTGTTCCATGGGGCTGCTACATCAGGGACACTCTGGGTGGCTTCGCGCCGCATTTAATTGCCAGTCCATCGGCTGATTCTGTCCGCCCTGAGAGGATGGACTGAACTGTCAAACCATGTAAGTGAGTCACATTGATTATCGCCTTCTGTTATATTATCGTGGTCACTAACCTATGTTTCTCCCAAACCAGAGTGCCAGTGATTGGTGGTGCCATTCCTTCCCCGCAGCCGCTGCAGATCCATAGCAGCCTGCTTCTGTTCTATTCTGTTAATTTGATTTAAAATTTTGAACTTCCCCACTGTCTTTTTCGCCTTGAATATTGGGTCCCACATTGTTGTTTACTTGACAGAATGATCTGGCCCCAGTAGCTGGGCTGAACTATATATAAAGCTGCAGAAACAGTTGAATAAGATGAATAATAAATAGTAACCAGGGGAGGTTAGGCAGGTAGATGAAGTGAGCAATTGCATCAGCTATCAGGGCCGCGATCATGACAGAGTTATCCGTTTGACGGATATAAGCTCGATTCACACTTTGATTTGTTGTTCTAACACATAGCCAAATGAGCATCTGTTCACAAATAATAGATGACAGTCAGAACAATATGTGATTAAATAACAGATTTACCACCCCTGGTGGGCGGGCAAAAATATATTAAAATTAAGAAACATTAAACATTAAACTAAGTGGCTGTTTGAATCTGCAGTTGTTTCCTATAATGCTGTTATCACACACAGCAATGTGCTCTCACTGATATCCAGCTGTGTTAAATATCTGTTAAAGAAGAGGAGAAGACGGGGTAATCCTGCAAATCTGAGGACAGATAATGTAATGGGTGTATATGATGGATTGTGAGGTGAAACGGTATTGCTCATAAAGTTAATTTACAAATATGAATATAAAGGGTACCTTTCTGATTATAAAACATATGCGGTCTAAGAATCCTTTTCCTATAAGTATTTAATTTGCTGCAAAACAATGCCACTCATTCTTAATTGGATCCTCATCAAAAGGAAATGCAATGTTTTTTTTTTTTACACCTAATGTGTTAAAAACTGCTCCAAACCAGGTTAGCCCTGGGGAGAAAATTACTTTTGCAACAGAAACAGAGGTTGAGTAAACTCTCTTTGTGAAATGGAAAACTATGTGGTTCCCCTATTTCAATGTTAGAAAACTTAAGAGTTCTAGTAAACCTGCTTTGTGAAATGGGCCTCGGACATTATATAAACCTGCAGGTGTGCAACAGCCTGAGAGATAACTGTTGTGAAGAAGATTAAATAAAATGAACACTAAACATTAATAAAATGGATGAACAACATATAATTATTTGTTCATACCACATAATTTTGAATATTCTATTAAAAGCTTGATTGTGAGCAGTCACATTGCTTGAATACATAACAAAGGTTCAAAAAAGTCTAATTATTACTACTTTTGTTTTGTCAGCTGAGGTTTTGCTGTGATAATAAGAGATACAAATGGAGGAAAACTTACCCACTGGCCAGTGAAGCAAAACTCCTAAAAAAGGTTTGATTGGTCATGGTTGGAAGCCCTTAAAACTGCTACTTCACTTCACATTGTGATCTCCAGAGATAAACCTTGGGCCTAGATCAATACAACTGCCAGGATAGTGACGTCAAATCTAATTAAGATTGCCTGCGTGGCACAATGGTACCAATCTGTGCTGGGTGGGCCCAGTGTCAGTACGGGATACAGCAAGGTTATTTTTTTCCCATTGTCTGAGGCTTAGACACGGCTCCAGAGGGATCCCTGCAGCCAGGACACCATTATCTGGCTAAGATGTGGGACAATCACACTGTTCCTGTTTCATTTCTTGTAAAGGTCCCTCTTCAATTAATCTCAGAGCCAAATCTTTTTTATGCTCTTCTGTAAGGACACCACAAAAAGAGACTTTTTCAATAAGACGTGTGAACAGATTGGCTCCTGTGTTGGAATAGAACAAAGGGGGATTATCTCATACAGGGTCAACTGGGAAAGAGAGAATGAGGCACGATAGATGATTATTTGTAGATAATGTTGTGTTGTCATGTCTAACACAATTTCCTGCTTGCAATCTAAGCATTCACAGGTTTGATCTTTACATTTAGGCCTTGCCAACCAAACCAAAATGTCACAAGTTAGTCCAATATTATTATGAGACTATGTATGCTCTCCTATCTATTTGTTTAAGCACAGTAATGTTATTGCTGAATAATAAAACTTTGGATTTTTTTTATTTGCTTTATAAATAACTGTATATTTTCTCAATCCAGCACATTTTTGTTTTATTTCTGTTTATCTGCTGCTCCCAATACTTTTCTATGAAAAAAAAAAAAAACAAATAAACACGAAAACTACACAAAAAAAACAAGAGATACCTGTATATCAGCCCTAATATAGTAACAGTCATAATTACTGCTAACACTATACTGGGTAAATGTGTTTTGCATTGAGACACAAGCTTTCTTAAAGACAGCCCAGGCGGTGCTCAGGTTTGTTTGGTCTTGAGCTTTTGGCTGACTGGTCTGTCAACCAGTAGTTGGTTTGTAACCCCCTTTGGTTTTATGACCAGCCGCTTTGTGGGCCCCACTCATGTACTGAATCGTGTTCCTATTAATCATTTTTGCTGCAATAACTGACATGAGCTTCCATGTAGTACAGAGGTTAGTTATTGATTAGGCTTTAGATAGGATACCCCTCTCTGGGGCAGTTTTATGATCAGGATTGTCCAACCTTGGGTCAGCCACAAATAGTGGCCAGTTTATCATGATGCATAGAGAGCTGTCAGTTTATTTAGAGCCTAGGTATTGATTATCTGAGGCCCTGGTGGTGTCCAACTCTTGATAGATCAGACTCTCTCTTGGATGTTTGCAACTATGATGTGTAGTAGATCTTGATTTAAGAGCTTGCTGTGGTCAGTCTTCAGCTCTCCAAAAACCATGAGGCACTGCTGTTATGAGATGCCTCCTTCCTCTATTTGCTTCTGCAGTACTGTTTCAGTAGCATTTAACTGTGTGGGTATAGTTCCATGCTATAACTTTTCCACTAAGGATAAACTTTTGATGGTACGGTTGAGATTAAGGTGTTTATCCACATGCTATCCAATGTGTCTGCAGCAGCTGCTTCTTCATTGATAGAGAACTGTCCTACTTGTGATTTGTTTGTTTTATTGACCTTTAGGTTGTTATTAAATGCTTGTTTACTTAGCCATTACTTTTAAGCTACTGTAGTTGAATGTGAACTTGGGATTTTAGTCCGCCTGAGTCCTCTGGGTGATATTAAGTATGTAGACTGGGCAGTCAACCTCAATATCCTATATGAACTTACATCAATTATTGCGGGTTGTGAGGTGCTGAGGTTCTGGACTAAAAGGACTGACTAAAAGGTTATACTCCTCTGGACTTACAGGCTTCCTGGTGTTTGGGGTAGCATAATGATGTAGCCAATAGTTAGTAACATCTATGGTTTTTATTATAAATGTGGAGATTGTTGTTAAAGCTACAGTGTGTAATTTTCAGCGACATCTAACGTACAGACTGCAGACCGCAGCAACATGAACATCTCCCCCCCACCGCTTCTCCCCCCCAACAGTATGGCGAGCGTTACGGGACAAAATGTCTTCCACGACGTCCGCATCACCTACATTCTCAAGTGATGAGGTTTGTTTACATAGATAATTTTACAGATAGTATTTCATTAGTTGTGTGTTCAGTACCGTCTCAGTTCATCTCTCTCAACTTGCCGTAGTTACTTTCGAGCGTAATGGGCGATCTCGCAATCGCTAGTTTGTTGGCTCTGTGCTGCCGTAGTGCAAAGATGTCTGCCTCCATGGCTGCGAGACCCGCTCCTATGTAATTATAAATAACGAATTCTAAGGCAACACAAATATTAAGGTTAAGAGGCTGAGCTCGTAGATGATGATAAATAACATAGTTATGTATAATATATTACATTTCTGACTGTATATCCCTGTAATTATTACACACTGTAGCTTTAATTTTTACATCTTTTTATTAAAACAGTGTCTAAATCCCTACAATACTGGCTCACATAAATGGTTACATCCATTAACAGCTTAATTCCTGCCCTCCATCTGACATCAAATATTATTAAAATCACATGGAACTCACCAATTTATCTTTTTCTAACAGGTAGTTTAAGGTGCCAGGTGTTATTTGTTGTTATCCTGTCTTTGGTCTCTGGTATGAGTCGGTTGAAGCTTCTTCATTGCACCTTCTTGTTCTTTTCGCAGCTGGCTAATTCTTTGATGATGCTTCATGTTGACTTGCAGCATCATCCTCCAAGATTGACATTGTTCTTTTTCACTTGTGTTCTGTAATTCGCAGCCAAGATTCTTAGGAATGTTGCCATAGCTTTTACAAACATGTTGGTCTTTGTTACCAGTTAAGCTAAATTGATTTAGTTTAAGCGAACCTGTAATCCATTTAGCTTACTTGAGCATTTTAAATCCATTTGTATGTCTGTCTGTCCATCCATATTAGAAATATTAAGGCATATATTCTTGATAAAATATTGTTTCACTTCTTACAACTGACATGATTCTAGAGTTGACTCTGGTGCAAACACACTACGAGTCAGGAAGCTTTTTAATATGTTTATTTGGAGGTTTTACAGAAAGATTGTTTGGTCCGGCATGGTGGTTTGGGGAACTGCGACTTAGACTGGAACTGCATGGGAAGAGAGATCGGTTAGATCGTTCGCAGGAGGAACTGGGTTATTTAGAGAAGATGCTGATTTCTTTGAGTTCCTTGGAGAGCGGAACAGACAGGGAGGAGGTTGGCTGAGATGGGATTATGGCTTGAGAGCTCGAGAGGGTGGACAGGCAGGTGAGCGTTCGAGGATGGATCCAGGAAGACTGAGTGGAGAACCGGCTTGGAGACTGCAAAGCTTGTAGGAGAGAAGGAGGACAAGGAGGTAAGCTTAAGTCTTAGCACAATGTTCAGTTTAGGTAGAGCTAGCTGGTAGGTTACCACTATGTTGGATTTTAACTGACTGGCGTCCGTCTCAGGGAATCCACTCCTCTAAATACTGCTCCCTGATTGCTTCCAATTGGAACCAGCTGGACGCTTGTCTGGGCTGGAGTCTCTGAGGAGGAAAAATTAAGAAAAAACCCTAACACAGCACAGCACACAATCCTGTGGACCCAACAACAACCTTTTATGATTCGTATTCCTACACATATATTTTGGGATTGTCTTTTCTGAGGTCCTGCAACATTGATTTAAATTTTTTTGTTGTTATTTCTTAACTTCATAAGTAGGGACCGCTGAAAATATAAAATGCTTTAGCCTACAATCCCAGTAAAACATTTTAAAACTAAATAGATTTTTAAAAAATTGTTTAAAATAGATTTATATAAATCAAAACATATATATGGGTTTCCCAGAGACCTAATATTTAAACCCAAATAGCTTTTTCTGGCTGTAAGGAGACCTCAGCACAATTCCTTGTATAAATTGAAGCCTTAATTTGGAAAAGGTGGAACCAAAGAAAACGTTTAATTAATTTAAGGATATATATTACATTACTTTCTGCCCTGAATGGTTTGAATTGCAACAGAATTACATCTGCTAACAGAGTCAAAGTTGTTTTAAAGTAGAATGTATTGTAATAGAAACCCAAGAAGCACTCTCATTTTCACTCTGAGGATTAGGTAATGTGTTGAAGAAAAGATATATGAATAATTTATCAACTCTCAAATGCAGTAGTGTCATAGACATAAAAGCAGTAGTTTCTGTTTTAGTGCAGCACCCTTAACACCTTTAACAAAGATAAAGCAAAGACCCTTGAAAAGGTGAAAAAAAAGGTTGTCAAAATGATAAAAGACTTATTTGTGTTTCATTAAGGAAATTCTATTTGTTTTCAAAAATTAGTAATAAAGAATGCAGTGAAAAATATTTGCCCACTTCAAAATGTTTGAGAAAATCAAAAAGCAGTTTTATATGATTTTATTACAGAAATAAAAACTATCCAAATCAACCTGCCCCAATGTGAAACTTAATTACTTTTTCCCAAGTCTTCATAACAACAACTGCGATCAAGCATTTACAATAACTTGCGAGTCTTCAGATTTTTTTATTATTAAAAAACATTGGTTTCTGTTTATCAAGAACTTTTAATAAGTCACTCCAGACAGATCTTTTTGATGGGATTATCTTTTTTAACAGGTCTGATAGTAGGGAATCAAATATTATGGTAATACAGTCTGATGATTTAAAGTGTTATAATCATTTATAAGCAATGACAGTTTAGTTTGCATAGATTAATAATAATAATAAAATATTTTAATTATATATATAGTTTTTATAAAATTTATTTAGTTTAATGATGTTAAACTTTAGTTGTGACAGTAAAGTGAAAACAAAGTACAGATAAAGGAAGGTGGCAAACCCCTAAGCTGATAAAAATCGAATTCTGTTACGGTTTTGATTTGAAATTGCTCAAGGTTTTATGAAAACAGAATTTCAGGCATGACATAAGATACATTTTCAAGTTATTAGAAAAACAAAACAGACAAAAAAAAAATGCAGTTTAAATCGTAATAGAAAACTTACATTAGGATTATGACTGTACCTTCACACAGGGCCACTTTGAGAGGTTTTGCTTTCTTTACTTGAAGAGGTACTATAGTTGGGACTTCATCTCTCGGCTTTTGGGGTTATTCTATAAAAAGGTGCCAGTGTCTGAGGTCCCAGTGGTACCTATTACAGCAGCCTAGTAGTCATTAATCACAGGCGAGTAAGCATTTCAACGCAGCGTCTGCCTAGAGTTTCCAATAGTCATTCATTAACAGTTCCCTCTGCCATCTCTTTTCTTAGCATCTGCACCCTCCTTCTCACCACTCCCACCTGGACCCTACAGACTTGATCGTTTTCTTGCTGACGTACTTGCTTTTCTTTTTGCCTGCCTTATGTATAAACTGTAAAAGTGGGTGTACTGGGAAATATCTTAAGATAACCTTTGCAGAACTTATTTTCTCTTCTTTTTAAAAATACCAGTATGCTAATGATGTTCATGGAAATCAACATCCAAGCAATTACCTTTCATGACAATTAAAATGGTATGTACAAGATACAGGCTTTCTTGCATTAAGCGTTACAACTAAAAACTTTTTTTTTAGCAGAGAAATGGAGGCTGGTCAAAGTTGACGGTAAAATATATGTTACCGTACTAAAGCGCTAAGTCTAATGCTTCTGAGTTAACAGCTTGATTAGATATTGGCCGTTACTTCGGTTTGGTTAATGATAATTAACAATCATGGCTGTTAAAAACATTAATAAGATTTACTAGAAATAAGAAAAAACCCAAATCCACAACTGGTTAGCATACTAAGATTTACTCGTATATGATTTAATACTTGTTAACCAATAGTCTAAATTGTTAAGGCTGGTAGCCTTTAATTACAATGATCTAAAATGTGTTTTCATTGTGGATGATTTTTTTAATAATTATTCATTATTATGAATTACTAATTATAATGATCAAAAACATATAAAGTAGGAATAATTTCACTATTTAACAAATAATTTGAAACAACACAAACAGCACAACAATGACAAAGTCTCTTAAAAATGTGTGGTGAGACTTGAAAACTGCTGTTCTTAGATGTTCTGCTTCCACTCTGAATGACTTTGAGCTATTTTGCAAAGAAGAATGGGCAACAACTTACCTCTGTAGATGTACAAAGTTCATAGAGACAATTCCTTGCTCCACTTTTTGCTACAGCTCTAACTGCATGAAAAGGTGCCTCCAAGTGTAATGCAGTGGCGGCTGGTGGAGTTTTCTCCAGGGAGGGCTATAAATTCAAAATAGACGTATACGAAAACCCGTCAAATGTATACTAAGTTAGTATACCAATATATTTATATGAATGCCAACAACAAAAAACCTTATTAAAAAAAACTGTACCGGACCTCAGCGGAGAGCTATGAGCCGCCCGTCCTCAGCCGGAGGAGGGGGGCTAGGGACTGGTAAGGTAGGCGGGGGGAAGCACGGGGACGCAGGTATCCAGGCCCTGACCAAAATCTCTGAGATTTCAAAATTCCGCCCAGACATTTTTTTAGGTTTCAAAGTAGGACATGTCCGGGGAAAAAGAAAACATCTGGTCAGCCTATCTTTGCTGCTCTGGCTGCGTGGTGGAAAAAACTGGGTCTGATGCCGGTTGGGGAGAGCTACCCTATCCATTCTTTGCCTGTAACAATGGCATATATATTTGTTGTGATCAGTAGGTAAAAAGTAGTTTGAGTCTATGTTGAAATGAAACGTTTTTTATGTACGTAATCCAAACTGCAGGATCCAGGATAATAAAAGCGAACATGTTTCGCCGGCAGATTTAGGTTAATTTAGGCGTTAATAAACTGTTTCAGAGGAGTGATCACAGCGCTGCAATCATCGCTGCTGCCTGTTTCCGTGCCAGGTCCCAGATCAGCGAAGCGCTGCTCCTGCTGCTCTAGACGTGCTGCAGACAGCATGCTCGTTCATGTGTTTTGAAGGCTTGGTTTCGAAGGGTGATCTGAAGGTAGAGGCAGTTGTATATGTTCAAAAATATAGCTTTCTGGAACCGTTTTTCAAAAAAACATAAATGTTGCCCTTCTGAGGCTTTGTGAATGCAAATCTGTGTTTTGCGTGGTCCAATATGATGTCACAAACCTAAAAAAATGATGTGCCAGTTTAATAATGGAGATGCTATGTCAGCTTTATATAAAAATATATACCGTATTTTCCCAACTATAGAGCGCATCTCTATATAAGCCGCACCCACTAAGTTTTTAAAAAAAAAACTAGAGAAGTACATATAAAAGCCGCATCGGGGTAAAAGCCGCTGATAACAACTGAAATGGTTACCGGTACCTCGTTTAACAGAACACAACTGAACAGATTAGTTTCGGAATGGTTTCTGTAGCACAAAAGTAAAAGTGCTGATCAAACAAAACAGAAAAGTTATTGATTGATTTATTCATCATCCTCCTGCGCACTAAAACTACTGAAGTCATCTTCTTCAGTGTCGGACTTGAACAGCATCAGAAGAGCTTCATCACATACCTTTTCTGTGTGGATATCAGAGTTGTTCTCTGTGTCACTGTCATCCCGGGGTGAAGCTGGCTCTGAAGCTGCGGTGCCCTCTTCACGCAGCAGTCCGGCCTTTTGGAACCCGTTGGTGATCGTAGATTCCTTCACGCTGCTCCACGCTGTTAGGATCCACTGACAGACATCAGAAAACGATGCTCTTCGCATGCGGCCAGTTTTTGTGAAGGATTTTTCGCCGCTTGTCATCCAAGCCTCCCATTCACTCCGGAGTGCTGCTTTAAACGCTCGATTCACGCTGATGTCCAGAGGTTGCAAAAACTTTGTTGTGCCTCCAGGAATCACAGCAGGAATTGAATTGGTTCTCTTGATGACAGCTTTCACTGAATCGGTGATGTGGGCCCTCATACTGTCCAAAACAAGAAGCGCCTTTTTCCGGTGAAAAAATCCTCCTGGGCGCTTTCCGTAGCATTCCGTTAACCAGTCCTTCATAAGACTTTCTACCATCCATCCTTTCTGGTTGACTTTAACCACTATGTCCTTCGGGAGCTGGTCTTTCGGCATAGTTTTGCGCTTAAAAATAACCATCGGGGGAAGCTTCTTTCCAGAGGCGGTGCAGCCCAGGACGCAGGTGAAATGAGTTCTCTCATGTCCGGTGGTTTTCACCATAATGGATGATGCACCTGTCTTGTTTACGGTCCTGGTCAGAGGCAGATCAAATGTTAATGGCACTTCATCCATATTTATAATCTCGTCTGGTCCTATAGTGTTCTCCGCAATCTTTGTTTCAACAAATTGTCAGAAATTTGCAACTTTTTCCTGGTAGTCTGGGGGGAGTTGCTGACAGAGAGTTGTCCGCACCCTGATGGACAGGTTCTTTCTTCTCATGAATCGGAAACACCAAGACGGTCCTCCGTTGAAATCCTCAATATTCATTTCGCGGGCGACTGATTTGGCTTTCAGCCGGATTTGCACGGTGGATACACCTCGGCCACCTGCTCTCTGAGTGTTAACCCAGTCCTCAAGAAAATTTTCAAGTTCAGGCCACCTGCTTTTATGTCCTCTGAAAGCCTTTCTAGTTTTTTTTACATTGGATGAGTTCTTCCCGCTGCCGTCTCCAGCGCCGAACCATGGATTCATTCACGTCAAGTTTACGTGCAGCAGCTCTATTTCCTTCCTGTACTGCCAGATCGATGGCCTTCAACTTAAAAGCGGCATCATACGAACTTCTTTGTGTGGTTTCCATGATGAGTGGGTATGGCTTTGAACAAAATTCTCCATCGTGTCTGCTGCTAACAAGTGCTAAATAAAAATGAGCGCTATTTTCTTCTTTGATTTCCAACTTTGACTTCCCTACCGTCTCGTTTTTTTTACTTTCTGCTAAAGCGCCCCCTGGCGGGTTGTGAAAAATCCACAGAAAAGCCGCACCACATTATAAACCGCATGGTTCCAAGTATGGGGAAAAAGTAGCGGCTTATAGTCAGGAAAATACGGTATATTTCCTTATCAGATGGTTATCAATTTTTATAAATTCATAAATTCATATGATGTGAATTTCTGGAATTTTCTTTGGGATTCTGTCTCTCACTGTTAGAATGTACATATGATTAACATTGTAGATTGTTGCATTCTTTGGAAGTGGCCAAACCTGCAAAATCAGCAAGGGGTCAAATACTTATTTCCCCCACTGTAAAAACTATTTATTTTCTGACAATGTGTTTATTTATGAACAACTATGCCAATTAAGAAACATCAGTAACTGCGCATGTACAACTTTTAACAACAGTCAATGGCTCTGTTCGAATTTATGAGCTGGGTCTTCCAAGGACGGTGAATTCAAACAGTTCTACCCTTTGGTGGCTTTCTCCACTGTACTCCGTCGCTTAGCAACCTTGACAGTTGATATACAAACAGGAAAAGAATGAACACCGAACTTTTGAAAACTGTTTCTTTTTTATTTTTTTATTGTAAAGTGAACGAAGACTACATTCATGACAACACAGAGTGGAATAAAGGTACCAACCACCGGGAGCATGAAATGTAATGATATTAACCTTAGTCAGTTAAGTAGCGTGCTGAAGTCACTTTGCACATCTCTGATGTTGCTGCTATTTTCAAATATCCATTACTGTAAATATGTCCATAGCTGAATATGGTTATTTATTCTCCAGGTGCACATTTTTATATAGGGCTTGGTCGTCATGACGTAAGCACTTTGCGTCGCCGCCATCTTGAATGCGCTGCTCATACTACTGCCTATGACTACCGCATACTGTACTTCCTCTCAGCCGTTTTTTAATTTGATTAATTTCACCTTAACTTGATTTCAACCATGATAAACCGTTGCTGTATTGTGGGCTGTAACAGCTCAACACATGATCGCCATGAGAAAACATAGAAAATGGGTTAACTTTCCACCGCTTTCCTGCCTGGAGGCGCAACCACGGAGACCAAGTGTCAGAGATAAAGAGTCGTCGGCTAGCTTGGATCGTGGCTGTAAGATGACCGAACATAACTTTCCACAGTATCCCAATGTCAATGAGAGTGTGCTCTAACTACACCTTTGAAACACATAGCAGCTAGTTAAAAGTACATTCCATGCGTGAGTGGTTGTTAGCACTAGCGGTTAGCAGTTGCTAAACTAAAAGGTTCCAGAGCCCGTCTGATCACAGCTTACCTTCGTACGGATTACTGTGTTCCCACTGTTTGCTGGCTTTATGATCTGCAGCTCCTGAACCCATCCATTCATGAACTGCACATGAGACTCCAAGGACTTGTAGC